CATTGAATTAAAACGCACTAAAGCTTTAGATCTTAATCAGTTTGTGAGGCGTTTTGCTGAACAAGATGGTAATCGCCGCATTCAGCTGTTATAGGCAACTTGATGCTCTGCACACGGATGACTCGATGAGCATAAACAACTGTTAAGATGATGACCTTACGTGTGTAAATATATTTTTTTCTTTGTGGGGGTCTGCCCCCAAAAACAGTTTTAACTCCTGAGAAAGTCAAATAAGACGGTGTGTCAAACTACACTGCCCAGCCAAAAAAAAGTAACCACTTTGAGTTAACTAGGCCAGTAGGTAAGGACTTTCCACTGGATAATAATACCCCTGCATTATAGCAACAACAACCATCATAATAATAATAATAATAATAATAATAATTGGGAGGGGGGGCGCGGTTGTTCTTATGTTCTCTGAGGGGAGGCTCACCTTCCCACACTTTGAAAACCCCTGCTCTAGAGCACATTTACACACACATTTGAGTCTTGAAATGTTCACCCAAAAAGTTGGTAATGCTTGTTTTCCTCAGTTCACAAGTTGTATCAAGTACCAAAATATTTGTTTAATTTAATTATACTTTTTAATTATTAACAAATCAGTGTGGTCTTTTAAAATAAACAAACAACACACTAACTTTAACATTAACATATTAATATTATCAAGCGCATTTTTTTGATATGTTATATCCCCTACTGACGCTACTACAGTTCTTTAACCTGTTCCACTCTGAGCCTGTTTTTCAGGTCTCAGGCTCGAAAATGACATTCCCAGAACAAATGACCATATCTTCCCTTCTAAAAGGGTTAAATTAATAATCTTTTTTCTCAAAGTAATGATAAACCTGTGAGTTGGATGTAGAAGTGTCAGAATCAATATAAATGTTTTTTATTTTAAAGAAAATTCAGATTTTACATAGTAAAAAACTGTAAATTATAGTGTCCGTCCAAAAATTATTTTTCACAGATAGTGAAAACTACCCTTGGATGATGGGTTAGTAGACTAAAAGCTTTAGGAATCCAAAGTACAACATATAATAAGTACCCTGTATCAAGATTGATGCAAAACAAGTGAAATTTGACCTTTTTAGAGAGATTTAGCCAAAAACTGGGCCATCTGGGGTCATTTGGGTGGATTTGACCTATCTCTGGCCCCCCTTGCTCGATTTGGTTGGTTGACATACCCTTGTGACCGTTAGAGCCAATAGAATCGAAGGAGGAGACTCACATACACACACTGTAAAGAAAAAATGTGGCCGCTTCGCGTGTGGAAAACGAAACCACACTGGAGGAATGTCTCCTTCTGGAGTTTGGAAACTAAAACGCAGTTGTATTGCTTATGGATTATCAGAAATAATTTCAAAGAAGGCACATAGGATGAACCTATGGATTAACTGCAGCATCGTTTTTTTATCGTTTTAATGCCATTGAAGACCACTTTTGACCAAGGTAAGCCATATTTACATGTTTAGCTTCTTAGCTCCACATGTGATGATGTACGCTTTCGTTGATAGCGTCGCGAATGTTTATCACTGAGTGTTGAGGTGGGCACCGTTAGATTCAGTGTCTCCAGGACACCAAAAAAGAGTGTTTGGTTGTGCATCTAGGATAAGTAATAAGGGAGTTATGAGTGAGTTTAAGTGCCTTTGTAGGTCCCGTTTTTTCGATCGAGGCTAATTCAGAGGCTGAGTGCTAGCATTGTGGGTTTTTTTTGAAAAAAAAAATTAAAAAGACCTGTTTCACACCTTCCCCCCGGTACCGGGCGGATAAACGCGTCATTTGCAGGAAACAACGTCTAAGGAATCTTAATATTGAATAAAACTATGAATGTGTTATATCCATGTAACGGGAAGAAACTCAGCTAACTGATCTTTTTAAAAAAAAAATTAAAAAAAAACCCACATTGCTAGCACTCAGCCTCTGAATTAGCCTCAAGCGAAAAAAACGTAACATACTAAGGCAACTAAACTCACTCTAACTCCCTTATTACTTATCCTAGATGCACAACCAACCACTCTTTTTTGGTGTCCTGGAGACACTGAATCTACCGGTGCCCTCCTCAACACTCAGTGATAAACATTCGCGACGCTCTAAACGAAAGCGTACATCATCACATGTGGAGCTAAGAAGCTAAACACGTAAATATGGCTTACCTTGGTCAAAAGTGGTCTTCAATGGCATTAAAACGATAAAAAAACGATGCTGCAGTTAATCCATAGGTTCATCCTATGTGTCTGTGCCTTCTTTGAAATTATTTCTGATAATCCATAAGCAATACAACTGCGTTTTAGTTTCCAAACTCCAGAAGGAGACATTCCTCCAGTGTGGTTTCGTTTTCCACACGCGAAGCAACCACATTTTTTCTTTACAACCTGTCTGGGTAGGAGCCTCCCCCTTCGATTCTATTGGCTCTAACGGTCACAAGGGTATGTCAACCAACCAAATCGAGCAAGGGGGGCCAGAGATCAAATCCACCCAAATGACCCCAGATGGCCCAGTTTTTGGCTAAATCTCTCTAAAAAGGTCAAATTTCACTTGTTTTGCATCAATCTTGATACAGGGTACTTATTATATGTTGTACTTTGGATTCCTAAAGCTTTTAGTCTACTAACCCATCATCCAAGGGTAGTTTTCACTATCTGTAAAAAATAATTTTTGGACGGACACTATAATTTACAGTTTTTACTATGTAAAATCTGAATTTTCTTTAAAATAAAAAACATTTATATTGATTCTGACACTTCTACATCCAACTCACAGGTTTATCATTACTTTGAGAACAAAGATTATTAATTTAACCCTTTTAGAAGGGAAGATATGGTCATTTGTTCTGGGAATGTCATTTTCGAGCCTGAGACCTGAAAAACAGGCTCAGAGTGGAACAGGTTAAGGCTAGTTCAGCCGCATTGGCACTTTTAAACTGTAATGCTCTTATATATCTTTTTTTTTTTTTTACTTTCTCTCTGTTGCCCTTTTCTCGTTCCTTTCGACTTAAGCGGTCAATACAGCTCTTAGTGTGACTGTGCTCTGTGGTGCACTTGTCCACTTTAAAATATTGTTCCACAAGGTTACAACACTTTAAGGCAGACAATTTGAATCAACTATTTTATTTACTTGTGATTAAAAAAAAAAATAGTAGATGTTTTGTGTTGTTGCAGTAAAGCTGTCATCTTTGAGCGGGTTTGTAGGAAGGCCAAAGACCTTAGCAGCCTCTCAAGCTGAAGAGACAATGCACAGCTGCAGGGGGCTTGTGCGTTTAATGAATGCTAAGGAGAGCCAGTCAAAAGGAGTTAATTTTGAGCCTTAATGTTTTTGAATGCTGTGACACATTTCCAGTTTTTTTTTCTAGTGAGGTTTACTGTTTCTACAGCGGGATTTCATTTCAAAGGGCCCTCAGCAAAATGGCGTCCGAGTGCCACTGGCAATACTGGATAAATGGTGTCACCCACCAGTGCTGTGGCCTAAGCAGACATAGCCGTTGATGTGTTCCAAAGCATCTCTCTGACTTGGCCCATTGTGCTGTGGAGGAACGGTGAATAGTGTTCTCCAGCAGGGCGAACAATATGTGATTGTTCCCCCTGCTGTGGTGAAGAAGCTGTAGGTTACTCTCTGTACCATCGCCAAAGCGCCTGAGGAGGAGATGTACCGCAAAATCTCTGTCTGCTAACCAGTGATTCTCTCAGGTTTAGCGCTCTGCAGTGCTGCTTACCTTTAGCTGTCGGAGCTGGTGGGAGGGGGGCACCCACCCCTTTTTGGTGGAGAGAGGCTTTTGTTTCACTGGAGCATTTATTTTTTACCGTTTGTGTGTCAGCGTTCAAATGTATTGACAGCCGCCAGGGGATAAAGAAAACATTCGTACCGAGGTGTGGAGCTGGATTTCAGAAGAACAAGAACTGAAGTGTGATTTGTTAGCATGTCATTTAGGTCCCTCAAGGAGTTTGGTGTTTCTGCGGAACGGTTGGGCACAATTTGTAAAAAATGGATGGCTCGCGTCCAAAGGTCTGTGTGTGACATTGTTCTTACATTAATGTATCTTAAACAGTTTTTAAAATGTTGGTTGTGTGTGTGTGTGTGCTAGACATCTTTTGTACTATAGTCTACATCTATTGACTTGTGATCCTCTGTGGTACTACATAATTGGGAGTGATGCTTCATATTTGCATGATTTGTCTACGCCCATGAAGGTAGCTCCGGGACGAGACTTTTGCACCCGTCAGGAAATGTTGTTTTGCTTGTTTTTGCGTCTGAGTGAGACAAAGTTGCTGTAGTCGTAGATACACTGGTGGGTATTGATTCTCTGTCCCAAGGCTTGCCTCAAAGGAAAATGGCACGATTTAGTACTTCACTCATCTTCATCATTGCTCTACTACCCCCGAACACCCAGATTGTTATTCGATATGTTGTTGACTATGCAATCCATTGTTGTTGGACCATCCATTATTGTAAACAGTATATTGTTTCAGGAACTACTTCAGTATACACATCAGCTGGTGACAATGCCAATGATTAATGCTTTAGAAACAAGACTTCTAGTATTATTTTTTAAATATATAAAACTTATCAAAGCACATCAAGATTAGTTTTGAAAATCCAATTAAACAAACAATAATAAACCTGATTTTAGGTGACATTCGTTCTCCAAGCTGGCCTGATAGCAAACAATCTAACGAGAGCACTGTTCAAACTGTGAAATAATTGAGTATGTTGTGTTGGCATGTGGAGCAGTACCTACCTTCTTTAAAAAGAATGTTGTTTAACTGCTATTACTTATATTACTAGATCACAATTGGTTCAAGCAGGCACTGAAATTGGCTTCCAAAACAAGTTATTTAATGTTTGTATTTAGATTTTTAGGAGATTTTTGTATTTGAAACCCCTTTCTGTGGTTTCTAGCCAAGTACTTGACAGCGTGCAACACAGCGTATCATATCTGAACCCTTCAAATTATAATATTTGAAGACCCTTGTGTACTTAAAACAAATCTATTTTGTTTCTCTCAGCAACGGCAACGGCAGCAATATGAACGGGTCGCTGGAGCAGTTAGATCAGCCGGATCCAGACTCCATCAAGATGTTTGTGGGCCAAATCCCAAGATCCTGGACAGAAACAGAACTTAAAGAGCTGTTTGAGCCATTCGGAGCTGTGCACCAGATCAACATCCTCCGTGATCGCACCCAGAATCCACCTCAAAGCAAAGGTATGTTCCACTCTTTGGTTTACTCGTTTTACCATTTACTCGGGATGTTACTAGGCTATACCCCTTAAAATTCATATCTTTTTTAAGATAGTGTTGAGCCTTCTTTTCAGTATTTTGTTTTTGAAACCCATAATGAATTGTCATATCTAAGCATGGGTCAGTACAGAGAAACGTAGCCCTTTTTGATATGCTCGCCGTTGTCCTCCACCTTGATTTGCATGGGTTTAGTGGTCAAGCCCTATACACAAAACCCTGTTATAGCCACGTCATCCACCATCACATTTCAGCACAATCCCCCTTAGGCAGTGCACAGCATTGCCTGTCTACACATGCAATGCAGCCGTTAGTGCAAAAGCATGAGATGATTCAATAGTCTTTTGTTTCAGGGTTAAAAAGCAGGACTTTTTTTAATAACCCTGCCATTATAGGAATATATTTTCTATTGTACTTTGCCGTTTGGCTTAAAAGCACCATTGTATGAAGAAAGTGTTATTCGACTGCTATTTTCCATTAAGACGTCTATTGATGCGCTCACCTTTTTATAAATGGTGCTCGAGTTGAGCGGTTCAGTTTCAGTTCCAATTAGAAGAGACGGTGAAGTGCAGGCCTGCTGCCTCCACCTTCTGCAGAGAGCTGCAAAGTGCCACTGAAAGGGCTCAGTCTCCTGTAACTAACTGCAGGTGAATAAAGAAAGCGACAGTTTCACCGATGTAACTGTTCTCGGTTTACGACATCACCCACATTTCAATTTAGTTGATGGTTGGATTGCTAAAGGCACTAATCCACTCTGGCGGGATATGTTTTGATGCTGTATTCTGCGTCTAAATGGAGTTTTGAGCTACCAATGCTGTACCGAGCTGCCTGGCTATTATTAAAGAGCTCTGGCCGACCATGGCTGGTGGTCTTTAAAGGTGTTATTGGCCTTTAGAGCCACTGTTCCACTGGTTAAGCCTGTAACAGTGTTGGTGGAGGCAGACTGAGGGAGAGTGTTGCTCGACTGGCTGTTCAGCCAAGTGAATAAGTGATTTGATCCATTTAGCACAGTAAATCCTCATGTTTTTGCCTCCGCCCTTTTTCTTTTCAAGTGAAAGACATGCTGACAACAACGCTGCTACTTGGAGGCGGACATATTGCCTTTCTGCCGTTGTATTCTCCATCTCTTTTTTTCTTTTTTCCAGCATTCATTCAAACGTTATTTGTGAGGCAATACATTATGAAGTGACAACTCTGTTGGCTGTGCAAATAAGTTATTTGCCTTTTTTAAATGATTGGCAGTATAATTGTTTTGATTTTCATGGAAAAAAGGAATTTCTTAACTGCGACCATTTGGTCCAAAAGAGCCTTTAGCATGGATTGTAAAATATCTTGACATTTTGGAAATGGTTTATTTTAAATCATTTTTCTTTTGAAGGTTAGTATTATGCTATAATTTGAATATACTCCTCGTAAATCCTGTCGTTATATTTGTTTGTCTCGTGGCGTCTCACAGCAGATGCGGACCCAACCAGAGCGGCTAAGCATTAAATATTCATGATAAAAACATACAATCAAAGTTAATATGCATAGCTGGAAAAATAAACAAAATGGAAATGCACATTGATTGCTGTGTGTATAATTTGTCTTATTTTTCTCAGCACTGCATTTGTGGTAATTACAATATTAACATTTAGTTATATTGGTTTTTTTAGCTACCTTTTTTAAAAGTGTAAACTTAAAAAAATCTATGCAACAACCCTAATTGCAGCACATCATGTGACCTGGACAGCACTTAATTCACATGATCTTTTTAACAAGATCTACACACCCAACAAGGCCAACATATCCTACATGTGTTCAAAGTTACCCCAGCAAAATCTCAGGGGTAATTATAATTCTGTGTATAAAGAACAGCCAACACTGCAGTTCATTGAGAGGATGGATAGTTCAAAGCCTCCTTTTCTTTCTTTTTTTAGCAAAGACCTCCCCTGTTCTATGTGGAGTGTCAGCTGTGATGGCCTATTGACATGTTAATGCAATGTTAATGTATTCTAATAGATCATCTGGCCTGATCACAGCGGCCTTTGGCTCACTCAGACTGTGTGAGGTGAATATGGTGCAGACCCACGCCCATTAAGCTTCTCTGCCTTCCTCCTTCCCCAGTAGTCTGGATGGCAGTTTCATTAAAGCAGGATGGCCTGATGATATTTGGCTTATGTTTATTTGCATGGCAAATAATTCACCGTTCACACCCTTCCTATAATCAATCTTCCCTTTTGTTAGATTTGTTTGTTGAAATTGCTGTAATCCCTCCTTCATTTGGGTTGTTTACTTTGCCACGGATCTATGGAGGATCCATCAGATATTGAAGTGTTTTTTGGGTCACGTCTACTGCAGGTCATGAAAAAATCATCTGATAACCATCACGCCTCTCTAGATGGTTTATTTAGCCCCAGTAAATGGGAGGCAGGGCTAAGCAGCAGAGAAAGAGAGGCAGAGCTCAGCTGGTTGTGAGAGAGAGAGAGAGAGAAGAGAGCAGCTCGATGCATATTAGAGTTCAACAGCCCTCCCCGCGGCCTGGGAGCTCCAGTAACAGCATAATACACACTATGTAGGTCAGAGACGCTGCAGTGCTCCACTTCCCCAACCCAGTGAAACTGACAGGCTGGAACGCCACTGGCGGTCTGCTGGGACGGAAGGATGAGAGCCTTTTTTTTGTGTTCTCCCTCCCCCGCTCTTCTTTTCTTCATCCCCCTCCCCCATCTCCTCTCTCCTCCCATGATTCCTCTTCCTTGCTCTCACTCCTTTTCACTCTTGTCTCTTTGTGCTGTTTTTATGCCTCCTGTATGTTTGTTTGTATGCGATTGGATTCTTATGTAATGCAGCACGACTCTCTCTGATGTGTTGGTACTGTGCCCTGGCATGCCTGGGTTTTGTTGACCTGTGGACAGTGCCTCCTGACAGCTATCTAAACCCTGTGGTCATCTCTATGGCCCGGTCACACAGCAGCCTTCAGCTATCTCATTACTCCAGTGTCCCCGCTACATGCTCCTACATGCTCTGTGTGCAGCATCTAACAGTTGGTGCCAAGAATAACCTGTCACATGTTTTAAACATGCGATATGAGGAGAACATGCACTCATACGACTAGCTCCTTTTCTGCTCTGCAGTTGTTGTGGTATTGGATTCACTGCCTGTATGCGCTGTGTTTCTAATGCTGTTTTTGTCTCCTTCCCCCCGCCCATTGTTTGTCCCTGTTTTTCTCTCTCTGCAGGATGCTGTTTTGTAACTTTTTATACAAGAAAAGCTGCACTGGAGGCCCAGAATGCACTGCACAACATAAAGACTTTAAGTGGGGTGAGTAAGCACAGTATGGTCTGCATTTAGCTGCTTGAGCCCTTCTACAGCCCGGCTGCAGCCTGTGAGCTTTTTGCTGGCTGATAATGAGCTCTCGGCTCACTGAACGCAAGTTTGCCCTGAAAAATATCTGGTCCCCACTATGCACTGACATCCAGGCAGGACTGCCCCTGAATCTCAACACACTGAACTGATAAGCCCGCTGACTACGCACACACACGCATGCGCGCGCGCACACACGCAGGTAAAAGGTAAAGTGTGCTTGACCAGGCAGCAGGTTATTCACTGAGGCACGGAACCTGATTGCCACAAAGTGGAACAAATTATGAATACTTGTCTTCGTGAATCATTGATGCACATCTACATTTTTATGTCCTAAAGTTGGAGGAATAAAGAGAAGAGGGATGAAGTCTCTTTTTAACAATGACGCCTTGTTAGAGTGATTGTTGTCTCCTATTTCCCCTCCTGATTTATCTACAGATTAAAGCCCAGTCATCCGGAATAAGTGCAGTTTCTTGTTAAACCACCACAAATCTGGCCCTCCTGTACGGCGTTCTAAATGACTCTCTTCCAATCAATAAAATCTATAACAAACAACTCCAGCAGTCGATTTAATCAATGGCACAGTCTATTCGAAATGCTACCCCTGTCAGTGAGTTTACAGGTAAATATTGAACCGGGTTGATAAATGAGTGTAGCAGGCTGGGTATATGGGTCTAGCTCTTTCTACTGGAGGACTATCAATCAGCCCGACATTTCAAATAAAGTGTGGTCTAACAGCTCAGCTCTCGAACCCCAGTCCCAGATCATACTGTGACTGGCATCGACTGCAGGTTCGTTTGCGTGACTGTGGAAAAGCTTGTTTCTGTTCCTGTTTTTTCTCCCTTCTGTGCCTCCCTCCCTCCCTGGTCAGTGATGCTAGCCAGTACCCATACTGAGCAGGCCATCTGTTGGCTTCTCTTTAGTGCTTGTCAAAAACAAACCCACCACTTTTCATAAGCGCCACCTGCACCCGCATCATGCAGCTAGATTCATTTTAATTTAATTTTTGGCATCGCATGACAGTTAAAATATGCTAAAAATATATACACTTGAAGTTCTGCGAATGGCTTTGAAAAAATGTGTTCATTAAATGGCATGAAATGACTGATCCTTAAGCAATTTCTCACTTAACAAACACAGCTTTGGAAAGGGCATTTTGTTCAGAGATGTTAGGCTGACTCAAATGAGATTTATCACAGCCCACATTTGCCACACATGTTTCTGTTTATGGGATTCAATATATAGTCACAACCAAAAACTCTCTGTACATTTGAAAGCAAAATAGAACTGCCTTGCTTGTCACCCCTCCTTGTAAAATTGTTGTAAAGAAAATGAGGGATGTTGACAGGAAGAATCGATAAGTTCAATCACAAGTCTACACTACAGCAAGAAGTGAAATTGGATACCGGAGAATTTGATCCCCCGCCATTAACTCGTAGACATTTCCTCCTGAATCTGGCCGTGGTGAGGGAGGATGGTGGTTTTAGAACAAAACACGAGGCAGAGAGAGATGCCTGAAGATGGAGGGCATGTGTGAAGATATGAGCCTCTTGTGATGACGGATAACAAGGCCAGACACCTGCATATTTCAAAATGGTGACGGATGCAGTGTTAACCATTTCCCTCTGCTATTTTTTATAGATGCATCATCCTGTCCAGATGAAACCCGCTGACAGTGAGAAAACAAGTGGTACGTGGATTCATGTGAAATGTAGGGTGACATGAGGACAGGAGGGTACACAGATAATGTCTGTTGAGAAAAAATCTTTTTAGATTTAGCGAATTGAGTAAGAGATTTTAAAAGAAGACCAGTGAAGGACTTAGTTCAGGGAATGTGCCGCAATACACAATTTCTATCTAGTGTCAGGGGTTGGGAGGATTAAGGGCTTTAAAAGGCACCGAGGGGAGAAGAGTAGAGCAGGTAGAGAGGATATGGTGAGCACAAATGAATGATACAGTCATCTGTCTCGAAGTAGACGAAAACAAAGCGGCAAGTTGCAGAGATTTGTACAAGAGGCTGCCACCTTGAGTGAGAGGCAGAAAATGTGTCGAGACGAGGGAGCTTATAAAAAGAGAAGTGCAAGATTTAACGCCTGATGTGACTGCCGCTTTCATAGCTCCATAATTGTTTGTCTGAATAGCTTTCCTCTTTTCAACCTTCTTGCAGCGGTAGAAGACAGAAAACTCTTCATCGGGATGATTGCAAAGAAATACGGCGAGAACGAGATCAGAATGATGTTCTCGTCTTTCGGACAGACCGAAGAGTGCCGAATTCTCCGGGGACCAGATGGTCAGAGCAGAGGTAGGTGTGCTTTCAGCGTAGGCACAGTGTTATCTGCCTCACAGCCGCCATCTTCAGCGAGTACAAGCTGTAATCATGTCTTTATACAGGCCCCACCCTACTTCTTTATTTCCACCCCCTCCAAACCCTCAAAAACAAGTGCTATTCACCTCCAGTGGCACCCATTCCATCCCCACAGTCCCATCCCTGTTACACTCAGCCTCCACATCTCACTTGCCGTCCGGCACAATGGGCCGTCTCCTTGGCAACCGCTGGCTGCCGGTGTTCGTGGGCTCAGCTGGCAGGCGGCTCGGCTCGGCTCCTCCTTTACCGCCTCCTTCATCCCACTCTACAAAGGCTGGAATTAGCTTGTCGTCGCGTCTCCTACATAGCTCTCGACTGCATAAAGCCTCAGATAACAGGCGGCTCGAGGCTCTCAAGTTGATATATACGATAAAACAGAGAGTGCTGGCCATTAATTTCTTCCTCTCTTTTAGTAAATTGACAGTCTCCACAATTTAATGAAATTAACCTTAAAACACCCTTTGATGTGAGCAGATCTTACACATTTTAGCAAATCAAAGCCTTTCAATGTGTAGTTATGTGTACATTTTATGTGTTTTTTATAATCATTGACTGTTTCACCATGACACCACCTAGTCAAGCCTCTTCGGGTGGCCAATGTAATCTGTCAATCACTGTGCTCATGTGACATGTGTTACTGTTCTCCTTGTTGTGTTCTTTCTCCGTGTGCTAACAGTGAGGGTGGTTCTGTGTGCTTGGGAGTTGCCATTCTTTGTACTGTAAAGTGTTTTTTGGGGTTCATAACGAGTTGTCCAAACCTTTTTGTCTTGTTTTGTTTCTTCTTGTCCCTCCCTCCCTCCCCCCCTCTCCTATTGTTCTACAGGCTGTGCGTTTGTCACATTTACTACCAGGGCACAGGCACAGAATGCAATCAAAACCATGCATCACGCTCAGACTATGGAGGTACTGTACCCCTTAGCACCTATTTCTCATTTCCCCCTATCCCCTCATACATTCTGCTGCCCCCTTGTGTTGAAAAGCTGAAGAACATGTACAGGCAGATGGCGTCCATTCATCACAGAGCATGAGTCATTTCCAAAACCACTCTTGTTAATTACAAAATTACATTGTCGTCTGAAAAATAATTGAATAAAAAGTGAAACATTGCCTCATTGCTAAATTCATGGCTAACGTGAAACGACAGGAATTGCCGTCATCTCCAATTTTTGGGGTGAACTAAAAGCATCTCATTTATTGATTCTGATTAATATTTTAGAGCCTAGCCATCAAAGTCTGCCATAATCAATCTATAGTTCAGACCACAGGGACAAGAGCTGCCACCATCAAATATAGGTTAACAAAGAATTAACCCAGACTGGATCAGCTGCTCTACTAGATTTCTTCAAAAACTGGGTCCATGTCATCATGTAGCCGATGGTATGTTTGTGGAAGTGGAGCAGCAGTAATTTGACAGCTAGCAGGTCAGAGGCTCCCCAGTGGAGCAGCAGACCAAGTCTAATTAGGAGCCTGACCAAACATAACACTCCTCCTACCAGATTAAACACAGGCCCCAGTGGTGCTGCCACCTATTTCCCCGCATTTCATAACCTCCCCAATTCTCAGCTGCCATGGGAAGTGCGGCTGGTTCAAAAGCCATTTCCCCTGTCCAGCCTGGTCCCTTTATGGCGCTCAACTCTGAAAATACTTAAGCAGAGCATGCCAAATGTCCAAGCGTCTTTCTGAACAGTATGGGACTGTCTGTTTGTGAGATTGTGTGCATTTGTAATGCATTTTTTCTGTTAATGTCTGCTGACAAATCCTCGTTTGATTGTCTGTTTTAAGTGTTGTCTCCATCTGTTGTCTGCTTGTCTGTGGACTCAATTACGCTCAGTGCTAAAAAAGAATCACTGTCTGCAATTTTGTCCTGTGCCCCTTTTGGAATGTGGCCTGGCTCAGCTATGCATGGAAGATGTCCTTTGTGTGTTAGATATGAATGCAACAGGCTTAAATCAAACTGTTTTGAGGCATAGATGATACCCTTTTTTAAAGAAAGTCCTTGCAATGACTGCGTCCTTACATTGATAAATGAACTGGATTCTTCAGTGTGCTTCCGAGTCTGTCTAACGTCTCTGACCTCTACATCGCTTCAGGGCTGTTCCTCACCTTTGGTGGTGAAGTTTGCCGACACGCAGAGAGATAAGGAGCAGCGGCGCCTGCAGCAGCAGTTGGTGCAGCAGATTCAGCAGCTGAACAGCGCCTCCACTTGGGGAAACATTGCCGGCCTGGGGACCCTCACACCGCAGTACCTGGCAGTAAGTGTTGCTCAAACACGCAGAGCTGCACAAGCCTGCCTCGTGAATTGATATACGGCACGGTTTAAGTTTCAAAATGTATTTATAGTTAAGCCATATGTTAACCATATGGGCCGCTTGACAAAATACAAGTTTATAAACTAAGCTACATACAATATAAAGGAATACACTTATATAAATATTAAAGGGTCTTTATAAGACAATACATTATACATGTGAAGTGTTGGTTGTAAATTAATGTGTAGATGGAGCCAAAAGAGGACTTGCTTTGATCTTAATTCTTGAGGTTTTGCTGTTGTACCGGTTGTCATATTGATGTGGTTAGGTTTATCTTTGAACAGCCTCTCAACAAAACTGCCAGGGATATGTTGTACTGAATTTTATTGTCAGGTGATCTTGTGTTGTTAACTTGTATGTTTAACAGTGACTGACTATTCTGAATAGAAATGCAGCAGCCATTTTGTCTGCAATATAGACAGCCTCTTAGACTTAACCCTTTGAACAATATTTGTATTACATTTTCAAAATGAATTAACTTGATAAAGGCAACACTTGAATTGTCAATACTGTTCTGAAAAAACCCAGCTTTGTTAAGCTATGTTATTATATTGTTGATAAATGATGAGATGTGTCCCTTATTAGTTGCTGATATGAATTCCTTCCTTTCTCTTTGTCCTCAACAGTTGCTCCAGCAGGCCACGACCCCCACCAACCAAGGCAGTTACAACAATATGCAGAGGCTAGGAGGTAAGTGCAGCCTCTCACTGCTCTGAAGTCCTTCTCTGTAAATGAACAAGCCGCCACTTCTCATGTCAACAACCTTGTGACTCAGTGCCTGACGCCCACCTGGCTCTAACTACCGTAAACCACATGACTCTTTCAGATCAGTGGCGTATTAGTAATGGATGCCTGTGTAGGCTGCTTAAAGACACACAGCACATAACCATTACTTACTCAAATGTTCTGTGTTTTTAAAGAAGAAACGGCAAACAGTATAACTGGAGGGGCACTGTATGTGAAGCTCTAATACTCTAAAACAACTACTGCACTTCCTTTTGGTTTTGAATACAGTACTCTTTCTGTTAAAGTCCTCTCAACCAGCTATAATAAACACTATGTTAGGATTTATTTCATGTCATGCTACCAAATTAAATGGCTTGATTTATGAAATAAAATAATGTTGAAGATGAAAGATAACTTTCCAAGGATGGGTTACATGGTAACGTGACAGAGTGAATGCAAAGCAGCATATTAATAACATGAATCCCACTCAATGTTAAATGGAGGAGGCTGAGAAAAAACTATTGTTTTTAATTGAAGACATAGTTTCAAAATCACTTCCCAACTTAAACTGTAAACATGTATTTTCCAAACATGTATTTTCCATTTATTCTCGAGAATTGTGTTCCCTCGAAGACTTTATGGAAAGCTTTTTGTGAGGATTTGAGCATAACTTTGGAAGACCTTGATGTTCACCTCTGTTTCTCGGTTCTAGCAGCAGGTGTGAACCCCCTCCAGCTGCAGAACTTCGCCACATTAGCGGCTGCTGCGGCTGCAGCGCAGAGCTCTGGCAGCCCAAATTCCAGCAACGCTATGTCTGCAAACAGCGCAGCCCTGGGAGCCCTGGCTAGTCCAGGTAATTAAATACTGGCATGAAGTGTAGAATTTGCATGAAATGCATTAGTGGAAGAAGTAGAAGTGTCTTTCACTTAAGTCATAGAAGCAACACTTTACTGTGATGAAAATATTCCACTACAAGTAAAAGCCCTGCATTCAGGATCTTACTTGTGTAGAAGTAATTTTAGTTCATTTATGGCGCATTTCCACTGCAGGGCCTCGCACGGCTTAGTACGGTATAGTTAGGCCTTGGTAGGCCAGGCTCACTTTATGCTGCGTTTCCATTACAGTTTAGTAGCTGGGGCAGTAACTATAGTAACGCAGTGTAGGCGGAGCCGTGACGTCATCTTCAATGCGAACCACAAAACCAAACATCAGCCGTTAGCTGTTAGCACTCAGAGCTCACAGCTCCTCATATATGTTCAGAAACTAGACAAAAGTTAAACAAGTACAAACCACAGACTGCCTGTGTCATGGCGAATACAGTCGCTGCTTTATTTATGTCTGTATAGGCCGTTGTGAGTGTGGACGGTCGGAGCATATACTGCGTTAGCTTAGCCGATCTCCATTCAGAAAACACGCATTTTAAAAGGTTTTTCGCCTGCCGTCTTGCATTAATTCATGTTTTTTACTAACCGGTATCAGCATGTTGTTACTTCGGCATCATTTTGAAACATGTATTACAATTAAATCACTGTAAAATATGTTCATTGTGTTGTAGTTGTAGCCACTCACATCACTAGTTTAGCATATTCAGCCCGGAAAGAACCACGATTTTGGAGGGCCAGAAAAAATTGTGAAAAGATACCCGTTAGCCGGAACTACCCCTAGTGGAAACGCAACAAAAAACGGGCCGGGTTTGGCACGGCACGCTTAAACCGTGCTACGCGCTGCAGTGGAAATGCGCCATGAGAGTAGTTTATTGGAGTGTTTAGCTTGCTGTTTTTGGCCTTGTTGGCTGGTTTCCCCCGTGTCCGTTACCCTAGTTTATCTTCACGCAAAACATTTAAATCTAAGTGTAAATAAAAATCCCTTACCCACTGAGATGAATGTACACGTTCACAGACAGCCCCCCTGCTGTGGCAGTATCAACAACTGCTCTGCAACCCTCCCTCCTCCCCATTTCCCTAACGGCCCCTCAGCCATTCCTCATGTGTTTTATGGGAGTTAATCAGCCCCATATAACATTTTATGGGAGCCCCATTTCCCTTTTAATCTGTGTAAATATACATTGGCTCCATCTGTCTGAGTTTGGCATATTGCTGCTGCGGTAATCACCTTTCCTCGTTAAGAGACAGATTTGAACGGCCCCCTTGCTGCCGTGTCATCCTCTCATAACCAAGTCATATGAGGTGTTCTGAGCATGAGCTAATCACCCTTGTGGTAACCCATATGTCCTTTTTATCGTGTTTTTCAGTTGGATCATCTGCATCCAGCGCCGGGGCTGCCATGAACACTTTGGCCTCTCTGGGCTCCCTGCAGGGTCTCACTGGGACCTCAATGGGCCTCAACCTCAACGCTCTCACCAACAGCGTCGGCGGTAAGAAGGACCTTTTTTAATCGCAGCTAGCTTCTTTTTAGCTATTTTAACATTAGTTGTTTTGTTTTTTATATGGAGCCAATAAAAAAAAAAAAAAAAAAAGCTCCTGGGCTGCTAAGTTTTATTGACTAGTTGTCTACTTTTTATTTAATTGTCAGAAAGAAAGACAGACTTATTTATTCACTACAATGTAATAGTAATAGCCCTAAATGCTGAACTGTTGCTCTGTATCTGTTGCATGTTGTACATAAACCCACTGGCCACTTTATTAGGTTCCTCTGTAAAAACCTAATTTAATCCAATAAAAGGCCTCGGCCATAAATTCTACCGTTGCCAGTATACCTCAGTAATCAAGAGAAAGTGGATTTAATGCCTCTTGGAAGGTTTCACAACAATCTGGCCATTCTAAACTTTGTAAAGAATGAATATGAGGGAGAGCACTACTGACCTGCATTAGATAGAGGTGAACCTAATAAAGTTGTTATAGTGGTGTAACTTGACAAGCAAAGTTGTAAAAGTATGTAAAAGTTGTGTTTTCTGCCCCCTGGTGGCCAGAAAAGCTGAATTCCCTCCTAATGATTGTCAATCTGTGTTTTCAGTGCGTGATCCGTTCGCTTCTCTCGGTTTGACAGGTATGGGGGGCATGAATGGCCTGGCAGCCTCAATGGCCAACGGATCAGCCGCCAGCTCCATGGACGCTCTGACCCAGGCCTACTCAGGGATGCAGCAGTACACGGCCGCCCTGCCCTCCCTCTACGGACAGTCCCTCCTGCAGCAGCAGAACATTGCTGCAGGGGGTCAGAAGGAAGGTGAGCATTATCACAATGCACTGCTGCAGGGATTTTGTGTTTTCATAGACCAACCCTGGTTCATTCTACAATCGCCAATGTGTGTGATTTTGCCTTCGGATTATTGCAGGAAAATAAATCTTTGATTAGATGTTTTTGTTCAGCATAACTATCTTAACAAATAAACACCAATTTAAGGAGAGCTAATGCAACTGGCAGGAATAGAAAGACAATTTTAGTCCATAAATGACTTTCATGCTCTCCCACAGCTTCAGCGGTAACACCACTAAGGCAAAAGTGGACTAGCCCCTTGTTAGCAAACTCCATTTAAGAGACGTAAAAGCTACATAAAAATGGCAAGTGGGACATTCTGAGTTTTTTGGAAATTATTCTTAAAGCACTTTTTGTTGCGGTCAGTTTTCTCATCAATATATGAACGTATTTTTAAAAGAAAATCTGTTTTATTTATAGAAGATTTACTTATGGATTATTTGAGTGTGTGTGCATCTTGATGCCTCTTGATCCTATCTAATTGGAATGTCCGTTTTTCCTTTCTCTTTTTACCAAATGGAGTAGGGCCAGAGGGCGCCAACCTGTTCATCTACCACCTGCCCCAGGAGTTTGGGGATCAGGATCTTCTGCAGATGTTTGTGCCTTTTGGAAATGTGGTCTCTGCCAAAGTCTTCGTTGATAAACAGACCAATCTGAGCAAGTGCTTTGGTAAGTCTGTTGTCTTTACAGCCCTTTTTATTATATCTTAAATGCGTGCTTTGATGTGTGGTTGAAATTAGATTGTCATGTATGTATACAGTAAGCCACCTACCTGCACATGTTTTTATTTTCAATACACAATAATAAAAAAAACGTTATTGTGAAGTTGTGTCAGGAGAAATAGCCAACGATAATAACAAAGCTTGTCTTATGGCTTTCTCTGGTGTGAAAGTTATTCTGTCCTGTTGACCAAGAGATCTATGGGAACATTGCCCTTGAGGTAAAGGGCAATGTCGCCCTAACCTTCGTCTGAAGCTGTATTTTAAAAAGGGGAGCAAGAGAGCGTGCGACCGACAAGTAGTTGAGATTGGTGCATTTAGTCAAGATTTAAAGGGCTCAAGATGAAATGGTGTATTATATTTCCTTTAAATGTTTGTAACGCGGGTCCTCCACATGTTTTGTTCTCAGGGTTCGTCAGCTATGACAATCCCGTGTCTGCGCAAGCTGCCATCCAGGCCATGAATGGTTTCCAGATCGGCATGAAGAGGCTGAAGGTTCAGCTGAAGCGCTCCAAGAACGACAGCAAACCCTACTGATCCTCGCCCCGGGGCCCCCCCCTCCCCAGCTCTATGCTAGCACTGCTAGGGTAAGTTCACCCTCCAGCCAAGGTCACCACAGCAGAGACTCAGTGGGGCAGGGGGAAAGGAGCCCGCCACAGGAGGGAGAAAAAAAATTGGTTGCAATGATCTTTCTACATTTTACTGTATTTCATTCCTGCGGTTTTATCATGTAATTTGAGTCGGATTTAATATTTTAATGTATATGATTATTTATGACTATCACTGGAGTCGGTGTTCGCTGGAGGTATTTTTGTGTCACTGTAATTAGTGGAGAGCATCAGGTGTGTTTCCATGCCATGTCATTGCCTTCAGGTCAAGCTAGAACAGGTTGACTAAGGATCAGTTGTCGTTGACGCCAGGCCACGCAGACCCCGAGCTTCAACCTGTGTTTGGCTTTTTACATTTAGTCTGTCTCGTCCGTTTGTCATCCTTAATGTTAAAAACTCTTTTGCACTCTAGCCCCGCCCCCCCTCGCCCATCTTTCCTCTTTCCATCTGCCACCTTTCCCTCATTATCTAAGCCATGTTGAGCTAGGCTACCTCTCTTTTCTCTATTAACCTCTTCCAGTCATTCCATCCATCCTCCGTCTGCCTCAGGGCGACGGGCTCTCCATGGATCTCTTTGGGTGCCAAGTATACAGTCTGCATGTTGGAGTCTCTGCCATATGTCGTAGTGGTGTCACTTCCGTACATCCGTGTATTGTTTTTGTGTGTCGGGTCTGTGGGGGGGGAGGGAGGGGGGGAAATGTTTGTCCTTTACTGTACGTGGTGATTGGCATTGTTTTTGTTGGTTTTTGTGCCTCATGGCTAAACAATTCTTGTGCTGTGGCCCTAACTTTCTCTCCTCTTTGTCCTCTCTCTCTCTCTCTCTCTCTCTCTCTCTCTCTCTCTCTCTTCCTGTCGTGTTTTTGTTCCTTTTTTAGAACAAATCTCCATGCCTGTTTGCTCATCATTAGCCTAGCATGTCTTCATGATGTTGAAAGCCAAGCCAAACTCCTGGCCTCATCATCCCACCATTGTCTGTGATGTCTCTCTAAGCTCGCCTGACCAATACCTGGCCACCCACTGACCCTTGACCTTAGCTCAACCTGATTTCTCTGCATGTATATTCATTTTGTTTTTTCTTTCTGTATAGAAATGTGACAGGTGGGAGAGAGGTCAAGCAAATCAATGTGAAAACGTACCTGCGTTGAATTCATTTAAGATACCTTTTTTTCTTTTTTTTTGCGAACGTTCTTTTGTTTTTGCGAATGTTTTAAAAACCTGTGGGATTTCTTATTTTTAATTTAGCTTTTTGGTTTCTTTTTACCTCTCTCAGTAAAGTTCACTTGAAAGTTGAATACAGGGATTGGCACACAGCTGTGCTATTTGGTGCCATTAGCAATATGTTGGCTTCTTTAAAAAATAATAAAAAAATTCAATGCTTCAGACCACTTTCCAACACTTTTGAAAGTCTGGCCAGTAAAACCCCTCTCAGTGCTCTGTGATCTCTACATTTTGCGGGCAGTGTGAAGATTTACACCAAGGCTATTTCAAAATATATTTTCACTTAATTTACACAAATATCCAGTGTATTTACCTTTTTTTTGAACTATGATGGCACAATAAAAGGTACATTTGCTCTGTTTAGAGAAATGACTACCTACATGAGTCAACTTTTTTAGAACTGATTCACAAATAGACAATCTGTGGTTTAAATGCACACTTAGATTACCTATATTTTATACCATTGAATCTATAGAAGATTAACTAACAGAACCCAGGCAAAACTTTGGGTTTTTTGTAGATTATGTTGTAATGTCATCTGTGTCGTGGGGGGGGGGGGGCGGGTCTTCAGTGTATTACATTTCTAAAGAGGGTTAAAAAAATCTGTTTGATCAGAGGGTCATTTCTATTCAATTAAAAACACTTTAAGTCAAATTCCTCTGCATTAATTGTAATTTCAACTTCTTGGTAAAAAGTAACTTTTTTTCCTTAAGGGTCACAGTATGTCGACTATTTTTTTTTCCTGCGTTAAAGACATTTAGTGTTCAACTTCCACGGTACGTGTCGTTGGCTTTCTGTGAATTTGTCATTAATAATTTAATTAATGGATGTTTCACTTTGGTTTAGTTTGGATGCCTGAAATATGATGATTTACAATGTCTGTTAATCATACAGATGCCAGACAATGTGTGTTTTTGTTTTAATTTGTTGTTAAAGTGCCCATGTGTCAAACTTAAGTGTTTATGAATTCTCACGTTTTTTTCTTGTGATATTACCTAGTTTTCTTTACACACACACACATGCACACACCGTGACACACACACTTTCTGTGGTTGCAAATGTGGGAGCCCCTGAAGAAGAGATCACTTGGACACGACCTGTGGGTCTCTGCACATTTTATAGACACACACCTGCTTTTTTTTAATTTACGTTTTTTGCTAATTGTTCTTTTAAGTGACTTCTAGTGTCATGTTTCAGTCGTACACGATGCACAGCACATAGATATTACTGAATCCACCACGACTAGTGTTGGTTTACAAGTACATTCCATTTTTTCAGCACAAAGTTTACACTTATTTTTACCGGGTGGTGTTATGTCTGTTGTACTACACGTTTTTAAGACGACCCTGGTAAAATAAAAAACCACTTCACCCCCAAAGAAGGGTTCCCTAAAACTGCGTACCTGATGGCGCTAAAGAGCTGTCAACTCAGGGGCTTTTTTTGTGTGTGAAACTAGACACTCACACAGGAATACGACACAAAATGCACAATTATCACCATTTGACCTTTTCAGTTTTGGATTTTTATTTTATTTTCGTTAATCAAAATACATTAATATTCCAAAAAAATATACAAAGAGGAACCAAATTTGAAACAGTGCTCGAAGGAAAGTGTTGGGAGTTTTGTAAGGAAGAGTTAAGCACAATTGTGGGAGCTAATCACTTTTGCAGAATGTTGTGTGTGATTATGATCCCCAAATGTTCAAGGTACCACTGATTTCACTTTTTAATATGGGCATGTGCTTTTTACAGTGTTTTTTCTATCCAAATGCAATACAATATTCAAAGTGCCATATATACGTCTAGAAACTGCCTACACATCCTTATCAGGCCTTGGGTTAGAGATTGCTGCAGTTCGCCTTTTTTGTCTATTTATGCTAGTGTCATGAACGCTCATGTCACCTGCTCATGTCCCCCCCCCCCCTCTTTTTCCTCCCCCACTCTGTGTTGAGTCATTGGTAAATATGTATTGTGATGTACTCAATTTGAACAGTTGGTTTAAAAAAAAAATTGTAGATAAACAATAAACTTCCCTATACATTTGAAGGTTAAACCTCTTTCTTAGTGAGTGTGAACATGTGTAACACTTTGCGATACAAACGATCGGTAAACCAGATGTGAGGGTATTTGTGAAGTCAATAAAGTTAAAAAGAAAAAAACAAGGTCAAACTTATTTAAAGATCTTTTTAAATGATCCAATCGTGTGTCAAACACTGAAATGATTGCAGATCTGTGGTCGGTATGCAGTGTATGGTGAAGTGTTACTGTGAATGAATTTAAAAAAGCACAATGTACAGTCCACCGGTCCGAACAGGGGCTTGACTCACTTCAGGGGCTTCCATCACAAATCCCGCTCTAACAATCACTTTCTTTCTTTTGTTGTGTTCATATTCTCAAGTGCTATTTTTTTGACAAGTGTGGTAGCTTTGCATCTCTATAGATATTGTCTTGATCCAAAAGAAAATAGGAAAAAAAAAAAAACTTTTCCTGTGTTTTATTTTTCTTGTCTGATAATCGGTAGGACTTTGTTCACGTTCCACCAATCCATTTAATAGATGTTTTATCTTGTCTTGATGAAAGCCAAAGTGGGTGCATCTTGATGTAATCTGTATTATACATACAGTAGGTTTTTTTCTGTTCAGTCAATATCAATTTTTTGGAAAACTGGGTGGGATTTGAGAAAAAAAGGCACACAGGCTTTCCAATTTCTACAACTGGTTGTTCATATGTATTTTGTACCAGTGAAGCTTTTTATATTGGAAATTAAAGAAAAAAAAATCTATATTGGAAAAAAAATTGTCTGGCCTCTCAATGTGGCCTCGCCTTGACCCGGTCTCGAGTTTGGCCTCTTGGTGGTGTCAAGCAATTTTTTTGTTTTTGTTTTTTTGTCTCTAAAAAAGATGCCTGATTTTGATTTTACTCGGATTTCTTCGTGTTCCTCACTTCGTTAATTTCAGTTTTCGGGGGGGTTGGGATCCTCTAAGTCGTGGTAAGTTTCATGTTAGTATTTGTGCTGTCCACATAGTTTAATGGTCATCAGGATATCGACAACTTGTGTGGTTAATTGTCTTAGTTGAAGAGTTAAGTATCCGTTTAGTTTGAGCCTTGCTTTTTACCTGTGTAGAGGTTTCTGTTTTTTCCCATAGCGGAGTGTGTAGCCGAAAGACTCTGTGTTCTTTTTTGGTCAATGTTTGTTCATGTGTGGTGTGTTTCTTTGCCTCTGTCTCCAAATTAAACCATTTCCCCTAATATGGACTGTGAGTCTTTGTGTGTTGTGCTTGTCCAGTGTTGTAAAGACATTTTACAAACCACCCCCCCCCTCCCCCAGTGTGTCATGTCTCGCTAACTTGTTTCTCTTCGTTGTGCTTCTCTTTGCTTACTTTGAGCAGTAACAGACAGCTGGTTTCTTAATGTTAACCTTTAGAGGTCTGATGGGGGAAGATGGATCTACAGCCACACTAGACAAAATATAAATGCTACACAATTAGTTTTGCTCCAATACTTTTTCTATAAATTAAAAGGTTATTTATTTCAAAAATGATGGTTGAAATTTTAAAAAATCTATTATGTATAACATTTTATTATACGTGATTATAACACAGGTGTGCCTGAGCTGGTCATAAAATGACCAGTCTAATGGATTAGGAAGTCCTGAATCTATTATTTTGTGAGAGAAATGGGAGTGTTTGTTTTTTGGGTGTCTTATCCGTGAAGCTGCACCCGAAGGCGTTTCCAGAAACAATTTAGAGCGCACAAACAAATATAAAGTTTAATTAAAATGTGCAAAGACCTTGAGTTTAGACTTCAGTGATAGTGAATGGATTAATCAATTAGTTGGGGATTAATTAGTTGGGGAACAGAAGGTTAACGTTTTTACACTACCAGATGTAAGCGGGTGATCAGAAAAGTTAGATGTTTTCAACACTGCATCTGCAAAATTGGTAAGAGGAAATCTTTACATTTCATAGACCGAAGAATAAATAAATGGAAATATCTATGCAACCCTGAAAACCAAAGACCCTACATTTGTTGGTTCTTAATTTTCAAATACAAGGCTTTTTATTGATTTATTATATCAATGTAGATATATTTAGATTTTAAACAGTTGGTTGCACAAAACAAGACATTTGAACACATTGTGTGTTCTCCATGTTGTGTTTTGTTATCTAGGCATAACAAAGTATAGTGAAATGATTAACCAAATGATTATTAGTTGCAGCCTAAATTCATAGAAAAGCTCCAAAAGCTAAATATTAAAGAAAGAAATCTTGAATATTTTCAAAATATTAAATGAATCACTTCAATAAATCAGGAAATGCAGCTTTCTGATGCAACTGCTTGTTATAAAGTGAAAAGACTACATTTTGTAAGTTAACCTGCTTCAGACTGTTTTTCTGTTTCTCTATCTTTAAGTCGAGAGAAGGATAGCTGTAGTAGAATTGTAATGATACTATTTATGTGCAAACATTACAGAAAAGCTGCACAATGCATTTAAAGTTTGGGTAATTCCCTGTATTACAATGAAGTTAAGTTGACCATGTTTTAAAAGTTTCCTTCACCTATTCAAAAGTGTGGATCTTTCTGTGTCAGACTGTCCCTAAATGAATGCAGACAAAACTAAGTTGTTGCTGGTCTCAAGAAATTGAAAATAAATATCATCCTGTATCAGGCAACATATAGCAGGATAAGGGAAATACATGATTGTTTTTACTTAAATAAACGTATAAAAAGATGCTACATATCCTTTTTAAATTCCACGTGCCTTGTGGAGAAGAACAAAATGACCGTAGAAAACCACGTGGAGTCCTGCTATATAACTTTGAAATGTGGAGAATGGAGTTTACAAGCAGCACTTGAACACAGCATCGATCTCTTCCTTAAACACTTAAACTTACACTTGTTGCGCTACGTCACGGGGGATACTTCAGGTACTTCGGACTTGTTTAAAACTAGCTCAAACACAAGAAGACTTTGTTTTTAAAGTGTATAGCCTTGAACTAAAACTACTAACTCGATGTTTTCAAGAAATCTGGGACAAATAAAGTAGTTACAAAAGGTGAAGGTTTTCCTTGTGACGGTGTTGTGAGACGAGTAGGTGACGCTCAGCCAATCAGCTTCCGATGCGGCGCCTCCTCCTCTCCCTCTCTGACGCTGAAGTGAGCTTCCGGTTCAACAGTTGAGGGGAAACTTAAGGTAAACTTATATTTTACAAGTCTACGTTTAGCCTAGTGGGTGTTTGACCTGCACCTTGTCAAATGTGATTTCGATGTGGCAAAACATGAAGGTAATTCATACAGTATTTGCTCCATAAAATGATTATTTTTGCCTTTGCAGTCTTTCTTCTCTGGAATAATTGAGTACAGATTTGAGCAGTCCTTGTGGTTTCTGACCTGAACCCTGTCCACTCCAGTCTGTATAAATAATAATGGAATCCCCCCTTTCTAGATGTGAAAATCTACATTCAAAAATTATAAAAGTTTTCACAAATTTGAAAGAGTTTCAGAAAACAATATCTAGAAGGACTAACATGAATTTGCAACATTATAAATACAATAAATAAAGTGGACAATCGGTCTCTGAGGTTTATGTCCTTCCCATTGCACCAGCGCATTCCTATGAGTATTTTTAGCACATTTTTAGCACATTTTTAGCACAATACTACCACTCTTAAAACTGCACATCTCTTCCACTATAACATTCTGATATACTTTAAATGTTTTCACAGTAATTTGTCATTATCTCACTATTTCTTTTTTGTAAAACATTTTTATTTTATTTTAAATCTTATTAAAGGTGGGGTAGGTAAGTTTGAGAAACCGGCTAGAGATCGCTAGAATTTGAAAATACACAACCGGAGAAAATCTGCCACTTCCTTATAGTGGACACACACGAACGCGCACATATAGTGGACACACACGAACGCGCACATGACCAATGAGGGCACGAGATAAGTTTGTGCCCCGATGGAAGGCTGACAGGCAGGTAGGCCATCCAGTTATTTTAGCCGGGCCGGCTAAAATGATTGGTCGTACTTTTTACAGTAGCCTACTACAGCTTCCACAGATGAATTTTTTTAATGGATTTTTTGTCAAAGCACTTAAGACATTCATTGCTATCGGGATGTTAAGAGCATTCCATGGAATATAACAAAAAGTGTATCTCGAGCCGGTTTCTCAAACTTACCTACCCCACCTTTAATGGTTCTAATGTTATCTTATTTTATAACTTAATGTCTTTGATTGTGATTATGTATGGGTCATAATAGTATAGTAAATACTGTTATATTTTGTATTATTTTTAATATTTTTCTAGTTCTCTACCTGTGTTTTTAATTCTTGTTTTACTTTAATGTATGCACCACGACACCAAGTCAAATTCCTCGTACGTGTCAACCTACCTGGTAATAAACCTGTTTCTGATTCACATTCTGATTCTGATAATACCCTAAAACAAACTCATTGTATGTGTAAATCTACTTGGTAAATACCTGATTTGGATTCCCCTTAACTTTCCCCTTAGCTGTGACGAATGTGAGTCTAACTTCAGCCTCCTCGTCTCGACTCCTCTCGACTCCTCTCGGCAGTATGGCCGCCGTCCTGTAGCAGCTTCTGTGTGCAGACATAAGATTACAGCTTTAGCACTTTACAACATGTCGGCGGTACTTTTCCTGAAGAAGTCTCTGAGCAGACTCCCTCCGGCTGTGGCTCGGCAGCTGGTCCGGTGCTGCTATCACACCGAGAGAGGGGTGTTCGGGTACCGACCCAAACAGACCGAGAGCCGACATGAGTTACTGAAGGACCGCATCGAAGCGCTGAACCAAGGTCAGTATAGGGTTAATTTAAGGGGTTAAATAAGGTTTCTATTACAGTATAAACAACTTTAAGACACCCTATAGATGTGAACTAATCTCTAATGATGACAAAGTTTAACTTCCTGTTGTTACGTTATTTTAATCAAGTATTCCAGTTTGTTTGTACGTGTATATACCTGTGGTGGAAAGTAACTAAGTACATTTACTCAAGTATTGTACTTAAGTAAAACTTTTAGGTACTTTTACTTTACTTGAGTATTTAAATGTCATCCTACTTTATACTTTTACTCCACTATAATTTGTTGATAAATGTTGTACTTTTTACTCCACTACATTCATTTAGCAGATTGAGTTACTAGTTACTTTGTAGATGTATGTTATTGATACTAAATATGAATCAACATACATTATCATATATTATTGAAGGTTAAGCCACCCAGTAGTAATTAAAGTAATTCAAATATACCCCAAATGTACCAAATGCAACATTGAAGTGATGAAGACATTAATTCACCAATAAGTATAATACAATAATTTAAAATATATGCTGCCTTTTGGTACTTAAGGTATATTTTTATGCTTGAGTACAAGTTTGCATGCAGAACTTTTACTTGTAGCATTTTAGTATTTCTACACTGTAGTATTGCTCCTTTTAATTACTAAATCACCTGAATACTTCTCCCACTCCTTCCGTTGTCTCATTGTTTATCAGATGATGTTGCTGCTGTTAGCCAAGGTTGCTATTGCACCTCACTAACTTATCGGCCTGTTTTCTTGCAGATCATGGTCTGTCCCGTCTGGTGGAGGCATACAGAGCACATGGCCACAAGGCTGCTAAAATCGACCCGTTACAGCCCGATAAACCTGTTGCTGACAGCGTCCCGGAGATAACCATGCTGACCGACACCGTCACAGGAACTCTCCACACCTCAGGTACAGGACAGCGTGCAGGGAGTCCTGCAGAAAGCATCCAGAAGTTTGTCTCCTCTTTTAAAAGCTTTCAGTGGTGGAATACATTTACTCAAGTATTGTATAATTTAGAGGAAATGTATGCGAGTCATTCCAGTTTCTTTATACTTTTACAGGACAACATTCAAGAGGGAAATACTGTACTTTGTAGTTACTAGTTACTTTACATATTCAGATTATTAATGCAAAGTACAATCATTTATAAATTCTACGGTATTTTTTCGAATTAATATCTGAGATTAATACTGTAGTTAAAGACAAGTTCAAATAAGCTCCACCTTTTAGCACCGGCAACATTAAAATGATTAGCACACTGTTGCATAAATTAATACTATGCAATAATAAAATATCAGCATTTTGAAATGTCCCATTCTGCATAATTAATGCTTTTACATGAATTACTGGGATATCGCTACTCAAATCAAAGATCTGCTTTCACCATTCACCAGGGAGTATAACATAATCATAAGTGAGATAAAGTTGGAATCAAAGACAGTGGTGCTTTAAAGTGTTAATTTTGAGGTGTGAAGCATGAAAAACACCAAAACAATGCTCTCCTCTGTTCATAAGTCACTTGTCGATGAATCATTTATTGTATTTCTGAAGGTCTACGACATTTTGGCAAAGCAGAGGCTTCCGTGGAAGAGGTGCAGGCCTACCTGGAAGGAGCGTACTGCGGCCACCTGTCAGTGGAGACCAGCCAGCTGAGCAGCCTGGAGGAGAGGGAGTGGTTCGCCGACCGCTTTGAGGAACTCAAGAAGAAGAGTTTCTCCACCGAGGAGAGGAAGCAGCTGGCCAAGGTCATGCTGGAGTCTCAGGTAGGCTAAAAAAAACTTCACATCAAATCATGTTTCGTGTAGATTTACGTTTCTCTTGGTATATTCTGACGGAAGTAGAAGTGTGACCAATTAAGATAAGATATTTATTTCAAATAATAACTGCAAATGATAGCATATTCAAATATCTTTGTAGTTGAGAGTTAGGGAGTTAGCGACCCCAGGCTGTTGTCAGAACAGCCGATTTCTGAATATATTTCACACTTTTTCTCTAAGTCGCTAAATTGGTCCCATTTAAAAAAAAAAAAGGTTGCTAGGAGGGTCTCACTTGTTTGGGGCATCTAGCAAGAAAGACCCAAAGTTACAGTGTGTGTGTGATGCTGTGACAGAAGTCCAATGTTATTTGTGCTTCTGTTCACTCTACATCAGGGGTGTCAAACTCAATTTCATCGCGGCCACATCAGCATTATGGTTGCACTCAAAGGGCTGGTTGTAACTTTAAGACTATACAAAAATACATACTGTATATAAATATATCATATATATAAAATAATGTATTATATTACATTATTGCCTCTGCATTGGATTATTATCGGATAAGGTAATAATAACTTCATGATTAACTACGACTGAAAGCAGAAGTCTAGGGCAAATAATTGCAAGTCTCTTCAGTGAGAATGTCACAAAATGATTTAAAAAGAAAAGCCAAATTCTGGAAAAAAAAGTCACAATCAAAAAAAAGAAGTGACATTTTGAAAAAAAGAAGTGACATTTAGAAGAAAAAAAGTCAAATTCTGAGAAAAAAGTCAAATTTGAGATGCATGTATGGGCAACGTGCCTCTGTAAATCGGCATGTAACCGTATTAAACATATATTCTTTGCAAGCTCTTGTGGGCCACATAAAATGAAGTCGCGGGCCGGATTTGGCCCCCGGGCCTTGAGTTTGACACCCCTGCTCTACATGAACCCTTGTCCTGTGCGGAAGTGGTAATTGAGAAAATGTACAATTTCTTAGACTGATGGCATAACAAGCTCGAAATTGTCTGATTCTGGTCGTCGGCCGATTAATATGTGCATCTCTACTTTCGTATAGCAAAGTCATTTATTTATTGTCCATCTGTTTCTTTTCTTTTCTCTCACCAACTGTAGGAATTCGACCACTTCCTGGCCACCAAGTTTGCTACTGTGAAGCGTTATGGAGGAGAAGGAGCAGAGAGCATGATGGGATTCTTCCACGAGCTATTCCGTCACTCGGCCTTCAGCGGAATCACTGACATCGTGATCGGCATGCCGCACAGAGGCCGACTCAACCTGCTGTCCGGCCTGCTGAAGTTCCCTCCAGAGGTTAATCTGCACGACACAACCACATCTAATGAGACATGTCCAATTATCTGTGACTTGACAAGATAAGATTGTTTACTTTGCACCACTGTAATCAGCAGCACGAGTAAACAGGAAGTCACAGCCTGCTGCCAAAGGGTAAACAAGGGTAACTTCAAACAACTTTTTCTCCGCAGCTCATGTTCCGTAAGATGCGCGGCCTCAGTGAGTTCCCAGAGACGTCCTCTGCCACCGGAGACGTCCTCTCCCACCTCACCGCATCATTAGAGTTGGATTTCGGAGCTGCGCGTCCTGTCCATGTGACCATGCTGCCCAACCCCTCCCACCTGGAGGCCATCAACCCCGTGGCTCAGGGCAAAACTCGAGCCAGGCAGCAGCTCAGGCAGGAAGGAGACTATTCCCCTGAAGACAACGCACAGCCAGGGGACCAGGTCGTCTGTCTGCAGGTACAACTAACACACACTAAACTCTTGTACCTTACGAGGGACATCTTTTGTCTTTTTAATTGAACATTTTGCAATCATTTTGGCATATGGCGTACATTTTGTTTTCTTTTGTTTGTTGGAAGTTCAACCTCAGCTTTAATGGTGAGTCTCTAATAAACTATGTTACCAAAATACAGACACTCAGACCCTTCAGTACAAATGTCCCCATTGAAACCCATACAAAACACAATTGTTGATACCATGGCCATTGGAGCATAAATGTATGCATTCTTTTATATAACGCTTTCATTTTTAATTGGTTGCACAAAGGGAGGTCTTCCTTGTTCTTTCTTATTAAGCAATAGACTTAGTAAAACAATGATGGTTGATGCTCACTACGTGGATTTTGTTGCAGATCAACGTCCAGAATCCAGATTACACATTAAAAAAAAAGAAAAATGATATGGATTTCACAGCTTGGTAGATGTTAGGCTGCACAGGGTATTTCATATGTTCAAGGATGTTTTCAAATGTTTTCATGTCTGTCTTTAAATAAGTGTCAGGCGCCCATATAAAAAAACAAAACTTATTTTATGTCACATATGATTATTAGTTCCATCGAGAAAAAAAGTGTCCACAGACACTTAAATAATAGACATCTGAAAGTCTTCTTTGCTTTGCTCTTCTGGTCCACAGTTACAAACCCCTCTAGGCCTTGTAAAATATTGAATCAATAATCCCTCCTGCAGTGTTACTAAAACGTACAGACCATCCCTGTCCTCCTCTCCTAGGTCCACGGTGACGGCGCTTTCACTGGACAGGGGATCGTTCCAGAAACGCTGACCCTTTCCAACCTCCCTCACTACAGAGTGGGTGGGAGCATCCACCTCATCGTCAACAACCAAGTGGGTTTCACCACTCCATCCGAGAGGGGGAGGTCGTCTCTGTACTGTAGCGACGTCGGTCAGTAAAACATATTAAACATTTGTAATATTTGCTACTATTTGAATTGCAAAGTTTGGTCAAAACCCAAGATACATTTTAAAATATGACTCCACCAGGTCATGTATTCTTTTATAATTAGAAGCTAATGCCCACGTTTGTGCCCCAGGTAAGATGGTGAACTGTGCTGTGATCCACGTGAACGGCGATGATCCAGATGAGGTGCTGCGGGCCACTCAGCTGGCTGTGGACTACCAGCGTGTTTTCAGGAAGGACATCATCGTGGACCTGGTCTGCTACCGTCAATGGGGCCACAACGAGCTGGACGAGCCCTTCTTCACCAACCCGGCCATGTACAAGATCATCAAGTCAGTTCAATTAGCCTTAAAGACTTTGTATCACAACGCATATCACCTCAGATGTTAGTGTAGCAGACCCATCGTATTTCTAAGGCCTCTTAAGCAGATGATAAAACTGTTATATTTCAGCAGGTATTAGCTAGTATAGAAAGGTATTGAAATACTTAGAAAATGGGTAATAGTACTAGGGCTGAACGATTAATCGATTTTAAATCGAAATCGCGATTATCAAATCGCAAAGCCTGCGATTTTTTTATTTTTTTTATTTAATTAAATAAAAAATAAAAATGTGGTTCTTCTTGTGTGTCAGTCATCCACACCAATCAGAAGTGCTGTGCTCCACATGTACCAGCCATTGTTAACCAATCAGAAGTGTATTGTGTAGTTAGTAATGCTCCATCACATGTTTTACATCTATTACAGGGTGAATCTAACCTGAAGCTTGACTTTAAAGGAACCCAACGGAAGTTTCATGTAAGTTTAGTTATTTCACTCGTAGCTCGGGCTGCGGGGGTGCTAGAGACGGGAGCATGTTGATACGACCTTCCTAGCCGGAGATATGGCCGCATTTTACAATAAACTTCCGTTGGGTCGCTTAAAAACAAATATCGCAAATCGAATCGCAATCGCAATATCTGTCAGAAAAATCGCAATTAGATTTCCCCAAATCGTGCAGCCCTAAATAGTACTGTTTTAAAATCTAAGTACCGATACATTAACAATGACAGTGTTTAAACAATATAACACAAAGACATTTAGGAGTTGTAGCAATGTGTTCGAATGAGGATGCACAAAGCAAAATATGGCACTACATTCCTCTAGCTGAGGCTTATGAGTTACACTTACACTTGTAAAGGTATGAATGATTAAACCAGTGGCTCCATTCAGCTCAACTTAAAGAAATAAGCTTCACTCACTGTTTCTACCTTTCTTAATAAAAGTCTTACAAATATATATACTGTATCACTGCTTGACCAGAGGGAATCTAAATCTAACATTAAGAGCATTTCGCTAAGAAGCAACTCAACAAAGGGACATTGCTTATTGTTTTCATTGATGCCAAATGCCATTTTAATATGATTTTAATTTAATTAATAAATTGAGTAAAACCCACAAGCATTCGTTAAATAGTTTGTGTAGATTTACTAAATGTTTTATTTCCTTACAGGTATATTACTATTTGCACATCGTGTTCTTGAAAAATATACTGTGTAATAAAACATTGTGTCATTGTCGGTCCTCACAGAACTCGTCAGAGCGTCCCTGACTGTTACTCAGAGAAGCTGATCTCCGAGGGTGTGATGACCGAGGCGGAGCGAGACGAGATCAAGTCCCAACACTACAGCATGCTGAACGACAAGCTGTCCAACATGACCCTGTACACCCCCCCACTCACCAACCTGCAGGGCCGCTGGGGGGATCTGGGCGAACCCCAGGCCAAAGTCACCACCTGGGACACGGGCGTCCCCGTCCCCCTGCTGCAGTACGTAGGGGCCAAATCTGTGGACATCCCCGAGGAAATCCAGGTCCACAGCCACCTGAGGAAGACCCATGTTCAGGTACTGCTATGTCTCATTTAGTGTGTGTGTGTGTGTGTGTGTGTGTGTGTGTGTGTGTGTGTGTGTGTGTGTGTGTGTGTGTGTGTGTGTGTGTGTGTGTGTGTGTGTTGTGTGTGTGTGTGTGTGTGTGTGGTGTGTGTGTGTGTGTGTGTGTGTGTGTGTGTGTGTGTGTGTGTGTGTGTGTGTGTGTGTGTGTGTGTGTGTGTGTGTGTGTGTGTGTGTGTGTGTGTGTGTGTGTGTGTGTGTGTGTGTGTGTGTGTGTGTGTGTGTGTGTGTGTGTGTGTGTGTGTGTGTGTGTGTGTGTGTGTGTGTGTGTGTGTGTGTGTGTGTGTGTGTGTGTGTGTGTGTGTGTGTGTGTGTGCATCTTTCCGCAGCTAATCTTGCCACTGACCCACCTGCCTAATATTTTTGTGGTCTTATACGACTATATGCGGAAAGACCTCTTGTATTTGCAGTGATTCAACATTTTTGAAAAGCCTATTTTTTGGACCGTTTTATATCGTAATTTACGCCTGAATCTTAACCTCTTGGGAGTAAGCAACAACTGCTTCAGAAGAGAAATACTTTCAGGCAATTGGCGAGTCCAAAAACAAGCCTTTTCTATTTTAAAACTGCCTTTTTGAAACTGAGAAGCATAGAAAATGTTGATCTTTATTTTGAACTGGAGCATCTGTAGATTGATATACCCAGTATGTTATGGTCCACTCAAGCTAAACACTAAACAAGATGAATAAATCCACTTTTTATGTTACCTACACATCCATGTTGACTGTAACGGAGTCGGAAGAGTCAACTCTTCTTTGTTTGAAATGTAATGTGATGACTGTGAGGGGAGAGGGAGACAGACTTTGTGTAGTTTTGTACTCTATTGAGCAAACCTTTCTAGTTACTACTGGATTGTCTTTGCTTAAAATATCAGCTCAATAGGTTTTTTTTTCTTTGTGAACTCAGGCTCGTTTGCAGAAGCTGGAAGAAGGAAACAAACTGGACTGGTCGACAGCAGAGGCTTTGGCTTTCGGCTCGCTCCTCTCCCAGGGTCAGTGTAACGGAGAAAACACATCAGATCAAATATATAAATAATTTCTTTCTATTGCTGACAAAAATTGGATTTGGAGAAAATGTTAAATGATTGTTGTTACAGGCTTTAATATCAGAATCAGCGGACAGGACGTGGGAAGAGGAACGTTCAGCCATCGACACGCCATGGTGGTGTGTCAGGACACCAACGACATGTACATCCCTCTGAACCACATCAGCCCTCAGCAGGCTGGCTTCCTGGAGGTAAATACCTTATAAACCTGATAAAACATAATCCGTCCTAATCGTGAGATATTTAAAAGCTTAATTCTTTAATAGTATCAAAATGTGTTATCCTTTCATGTGTTGTATTGTGATGACTTTGTGTCTTTGTGTGTGTGTTCAGGTGTGTAACAGCCCGCTGTCTGAGGAGGCGGTGCTGGGATTTGAATACGGTATGAGCATCGCTCAGCCGAAGCTCCTTCCCATCTGGGAGGCTCAGTTTGGAGATTTCTTCAACGGAGCGCAGATCATCTTCGATACCTTCCTCACTGGAGGTAAGCTCCTGACTACACTGGTGCTATGAACATGTCACACTTACTCTCAGTATCTTAAACTTCCCTCATCAGCTGTGTAACTCTTGTGTCTGCAGGTGAAGCGAAGTGGCTGCTGCAGTGTGGGATGGTGATCCTGCTGCCTCACGGCTACGATGGAGCCGGACCCGAACACTCCTCCTGCCGCATGGAGCGCTTCCTCCAGGTCTGTGTGGCGGGAATGTAATCCATGTCAAACCAACTTACCAGTTTTTAATTTTCTGTAAATAACGTCCATGTTAACACCAAGTTTGAAAGAGAACTTGGATTTGATATGCACTTAAATGTAGGATAATAGTGGAGTCATACATTTCCACTTTGCAGCATACTGCAGGAAGTAGTGTTCAACCACAGAAATGTTTTGAATGCAAAAAACACAATTATATTTTTCAAAAATTCCAAGTAATTTAAATGTTGCTGGTTTTGAAACCTCCACAGACTAAGACACTCTTGCTTTATAGGATTTCAAAGCACTGCTCTATCTCTGCTGTTATTTGTTAACTGGTTTACAGCTGTAAGTCTGGATGTTTCTGAACTGAATGTTCTGCTAGCAGCTTTTTCGTTGGTTTGTGTTATGTTACTCATTAGCTGAATGAGTGCTAACTGCTCCCGTCTGTCTCTCAGATGTGTGACAGTAAAGAGGAGGGTGTGGATGATGACCGCGTGAACATGGCTGTGGTCAACCCCAGCACGTCCGCTCAGTACTTCCACCTGCTGAGGAGGCAGATGATCCGTAACTTCCGCAAACCTCTCATTGTGGTTGGACCCAAGACCCTGCTCCGATTTTCTGTAAGTGCTAACAGAACATTTCCAAATCCTTTAAACCAGGGGTCGGCAACCTTTTTGATATGAAGTGCCATTCTAAAAAAAGGGGGGGGGGGGGGGGGGGGGGTTGAAGAGCTCGACGAAAGCACTCGTGAAAAGTGATGTTTAAAACTCAGTTAATGGGGCTCATTCACTGGCGCTTCCACAAACAACCAACATAATTGTTACATTCAAATGAAGTACATTATTCAAGTTTACATTACAGGGTTCGTACGGGTGCTGGAAATCCTTGAAAATGCTTGAAATTGTACGAGGTGTTTTCAAGGTTTGAAAAGTGCTTGAATTTTGGGAATGGCGCTTGAATTTGGGATAAAGTGCTTGAAATTTTAAATGCTTTACTTCGCTTTTTAGATTAAAAGAAAATAAAGAAGTCAGAGCGCGCTTAATTGCTTCGCTTTACATAAAACAGCTCCGCTCCGGCCTTCCCGCGCTATGCACGTGACCTGCAAGTGTTTTTGTTACGTGTGTGACCTGGGCATTCTGATGAGAGTGATAGATGACAGTATGCCAGGAGGTTGCCGTTTCAACGAGCGTTGGCTAGCAGAAGACAAATACAAGCCATGGCTAAGACGAGGGTCAAGCGAAGCCCAAGAGTAGCCTCCTGCAAAGTTTGCAAAAATAACGATGCGAGAGTCTGCGCTGACGAGCCACATGAAAGGTACGCCGTAGTAGAGCATTTTAGATTAGGCTAACGTTGCTTGTTACGTTTGTTTAAGCTAACGTTAGCAAGCTGAATAGCGAACTCGATGAGGGAGAATAATAATTGCAGGGGACAATCATTTCAGAGGAGCGTACCTATGTTATGTCAGTCGCCATCCTGTGGTGTTCAGCGGATGAAGCACTCACGGCATTTTGTGTTATAGTCACGAAATATAATCTATTGATTCGACACAGAGCGATTTTAAAAGCAATGTATTTCTACTGGTAGTATGTTTCGTGCCTAAACCAAATGTGACTTTCTCTATCGAAATCAGTCACATTGACCCGAAGACACATTTTAGTTTGTATTACTGGTCTGGGGGAAGCTCGCGAGTGTGTTTGTGTTTGTGTATTTTTTAGTTTGTGTAACGGGGAAACACTCACAAGAAACACCGGCTGTTGTTATGCTTGCTGTGATGTTAAATTACTCCGTTCTCTGCTTGTAATTATGCCGTTACAAGCTTCAAAGTTGTATTTATCATCTGAATTTGCCGAAACAAGTTTAATATTCTGAAAGCCAATACTTTGTTTATTTGAAAACAGATGAAAACAAACTGTCTTTTATATAAAATTGAAGTATTATACAAGTAAAACTACATGTTGCTTTAATCCCATGTAATTGTAGAATGAACACAGTCTTCCTTTGAAGATGTATAAGTCAGGTGTCTTGAGTAGTCAAAATTACCTACAAATCATTGTACACATTTGTAACTATTATTTTCCACTTGTTACCATTGTGAGTCTATTTTTATGCAGCTCTGCGTGATTTTGTGGCTACAATTCAGGCTAATATACTACCAGAGGTAGAATAAGTACTCAGATATTGTACTTGAGTAAAAGTAGAAGTACTCCGATCTTGTACTTGAGTAAAAGTAGAAGTACCAGAGTGTAGGAATACTCTGTTTCAGTAAAAGTCCTGCATTCAAAATGTTCCTCAAGTAAAAGTAGAAAAGTATTATCATCAAAATATAGTTAAAGTAGCGACAGTAAAAGTAGTCATTGTGCAGATTGGTCCATTTCAGAATAATATATATGATATGTTTTATAATGATTGATCATTAAAGTGTTCTCAAAGCTGGTAAAGGTGCAGCTAGTTTGAATGACTTTGTATACTGCAGGGTAGCTTGTGAATTTACTCCAGGTGGAACTAAAGTCTGATTTAACACTTGATTATATTTCACATCATTCATCCACATCTGTAAAGTAACTAAAGGTATTAAATATGGAGTCAAAGTACACAATTTACCTCTGACTTATGTTTACTGCCAACCTAAAAGTACCTCAAAAATAGTAATTAATAATGTATTGAAAAAAATTAAATAATGTATTGAAAAGTTATTTGGCTGATTGTTTTATATCGGCTCAGCCAGGTTATATGGGATGCCCAGTCTACGTACAGATCACTAATTTTGAAATATTAAACTTAGTTTTCTTTTCTTAAATTTTTCATCCTCATGTAGAATGCTATCACGAAACACACATTTGGTTGTTTATAGCATAAAGAACATCTGATTTAATGTGAGGTAGGGAAATAATCATTTGAGTATAAGTATAAGTATGTGTATATAAATATGTAATTTACAACAGCTGTAAGATGCTTGAAAAGCTTGAAAATGCACCTTGAAAATGCTTGAAAAGTGCTTGAATTTGACTTTTGAAAAGGTGTAAGAACCCTGACATTAACTTTGGATAATAACACGGGAGAAATGAGCGGAAGCGCTCTCTTTTCCTCTCTCCCCCTCTCTCTCTCTCTCTCCTGACAGCCCGTCAGTATCTCATGCAGCTCACTGATCCAGTAATGAGTGACAGTGAAGAATAAATATATTTATAACTAGTTCCAAAGGTAGATAAAATAGCTAAGTGTGTTAGGTCTAACTTGTGTTCTGCTCCGCTCACCGGTCCGTCACAGCGGGTGGAGCTGCAGGATTTCTGCTTCACACACGTTGCACCGCTATTTTATTGTCATTTTTGGACACCTTAAAATACTGCCAGACTGGTGAAGCGATTTTGGCGAGCTTGTTTTGCAGCACACAGAGAAAAGTGTCATGTATGTTACGTCTCGCGATCGGCCTTTTTAGAGAGCACCGATCGATCGGCAGAGAGTGAGTATCGGCCGATATCGATCGCCACGCAAAAACTGCGGCATTTTTACAGCTCCTTATGGGTACTGCAATTTGTGAAGTGCTTTCCTCTGTGGAAAAACTATCAGCACTGCATTACGGAAGAAAGCGGCAGAAAGTCGCCTGGAGTTAAAGAGAGTGGGGCTGCGTTGCGTGCATGGCTTCCTTCTGCAGGTAACGGGGAGACGCGCTCTGGCGGCGGTCTCGTTCAGGATCCAAAAATAAAATAAATATTTTGTACACTTATTCCTAGTGTGCCACTGGTTACGGTGCCGCGTGCCATTGATGGCACGCTTGCCAGGGGTTGCCGACCCCTGCTTTAAACTAATGTTTCTATGCAAGTATCTGAATAATGTGTGTTGTTTCCACAGGGCGCAGCGTCCAGTCTGACTGAGCTGGCTCCAGGAACATCCTTCAGACCAGTGTTGGGTGATACCTCAGTCTCTGCAGCAAGGTACAGAAGTAGCAATATTTATATTATTGAAGACATAAAACACAATTTAAATGTTAATGTGCCCTTTAACAAATGGGAAAAATCTTGTTTGGATTGTTGCTAGAGTTCCCCGATAATACAGACACTTTTCTTGCTTTGTGTTCGACAAGCACCATCAGTTCTGAATTTCTGAAATGATTACACGTTTCTTTTACTTTTTGACTTGACAACACTGGAACTATTGGATTACTCAAGTCAGAAACAGTGTTATGCACGAAACACTAGACTATAATATGCAAAAAAAAGCTGAATCCAATGTTGATTTAAAAATGTCAATGTCAATATTATGAAAAAACCCTCAAATGATTGGTTACAGCCAACATTTTCTTTTACAATTAATCATTTTTCAATGTTCTTTTGTCCTTTTGATTGAAAACTGCTGATTTGTGGAAGATTCATACATTAAGCCCATCTCATTGTACTTCCATGCAGTGTCCAGAAGGTGGTGCTGTGCTCAGGGAAACATTACTATGCCCTGCTGAAACAGAGAGAGACATCAGCAGCCAATCAGAACACAGCACTGATCCGTGTGGAGGAGCTCTGTCCGTTCCCTCTGGACGCCCTGCAGCAGGAGTTCAAAAAATACCCCAACGCCAAAGGTATGTGCGAGACCCCGACCCCCATACTGACTGTGTTAGTGCCATAAGAACATCTTATTTAATATCAGTCAGGTCTTTGAGGAAAAGTTAATTACTGTATGTTTAATCAGGTCTTTGAATACACTGTTGTATTGCAGGCAAACAAGTGCTCACTATGAATATAATAAACATAAGTCAGCATGTAGGGCTTGACTATATCCCTTAACAATTGTTATCATAACTGGCCCTTATATCACTTTGACGAATACAAAGACAGTAGAGGACAAACTCACAGCCACTACAAGAACCTCACTGTACACACAATCTATAAATAGTGCTATATACACATTTGAACATAATAGATCTATATCAAACTTTTCCGAACAGATGTTACAGTGCTTCACAAGACAATAAAGGTAGATACATCAAGCAAAGAGAATAACAATAAGATGTCCATTTAAAAAGTACATTCAATAACAATATAAAAAGGTAAAGTAGTGAAACAAAGTGATAAAAAGAAATTAATACTTGAATGTGATGGTGTACGTGGACTCTTTGCTGACATGCTTGCTGCATTTTGCATAATACTCATGAGTTTCTGAGGCACTTCCCACATTATGTAATACTGCAGTCTTGACTGACTGATGCACAAGAGGCAACACAAGGCAACACAATTTATAAAGAGCTTTTTCAACACAAAAGCACCGTGTAGCTGTTTACTTCAAGTTTTAAAAAAAAAGCATTCAAGCAACATTTAAAGCTCGAAGGTAATGAAGATAAATAATGTGAAATGAAACTACACATAAAGACAAATAATACACAATCAAATAAGTATTTTATTAAAGTTACAGGGCAGGAATAAAAACCCAAAATGTAATAAAAAAAACTGATGCAGACACGGATCTTCTGAAAAATGGTTCCAGGAATGAATGTACTGCAGAGAAACTGAAAGTGCTTTCTTAATCTCTTAAAGGTAGGGTAGGTAATTTTGGAGAAACCAGCTCGAGTGCTCTAGAATTTGAAAATACACAGCCGGAAAAAATCTGCCACTTCCTTTCAAAGCCCCTCCTCCAACACACACGAACGCGCACATGACCAATGAGGGCACGAGATAAGTCTGTGCACAGATGGAAGGCTGACAGGCAGGTAGGCCATCCAGTTATTTTAGCCGGGCTGGCTAAAATGATTGGTCGTGCTTTTTACAGTACTACGGCTTCCACAGATGAAATTTTTTTATGGATTTTTTGTCAAAGCACTTAAGATATTCATTGCTATCGGGATGTTAAGAGCATTCCATGGAATATAACAAAAAGTGAATCTCGAGCCGGTTTCTCAAACTTACCTACCCCACCTTTAATTGTAATACAAAAAAAGCATAGATAGATGATAGTCATTTCAGGTTTATCATTCCATACTTTATGGAAAGAGTTTTTTCTTCGATACTTTCAGGATCCAGAGTCCGTATGTGATGCAGCCATCTATATTTGAGTTTCGGACAAAAAAACAATTTCGACAGCATCTCTCTTTGTGAGTCACAGGAAGTTGAATGGCATTCAGCGACTTGAATAGAAGTCTGACAGTCTCCACTTTAATCACAGTCCTGAGGAGAACATCACTGACAAAGAAACCATTCATCTAAAACAAAAATCTGAAGTATGAGCTACAGCAGACTGGTTTTCACTGCACGGCCCATTGTGTTAGGTGTTTCTATTATTGTGTCCACCCTGTGTCGCTGAATGAGTGTCACTCTGACTGATTGCTTAAAATTTCGTTAAGAAAGACTTTGTGAGCATGAGGAACTAGAGGCTGTCAACATCTTGTGGATTTCAACATTGGCCGATGTAATCATTTCCCAAATTCACGACATGTATATCTAAAAAAAAACCTCTGGTGATTCCGTTTCTTAGTCTTATCTAAATAATTTGCTTTTCTGTGTTTATATCTTAAGAACAGGTAAAACAATGTTTTGAGGTGAATTTCATTTTGGTCAGGGTCATTGTGTTGGTTGTTGTTGTAATACTTATTTCAACCACAAAATAATAAAGTGCACCACTACCAGTGAATATACAATATCTTATATATATCGGACTAAAAGCCGAGTGGGAGGCGTGTGGCGCAGTGGATAGAGCCTTGGTATGGGGGTCAGATGGTCACAGGTTCAAACCCCACTGCAGTCAGCATGTCGTTGTGTCCCTGGGCAAGACACTTCACCCCAAATTGCTCCTGTGGGGATTGTCCACAGTACTGAATGTATGTAAGTCACTTTGGATAAAAGCGTCTAACAAGTAACATGTAAAAGTAAAAGCATGTTTTCTACCATGTGAGTTTTATTCCTCCATTTACTGTAAGCATGTCTTTCTTTAGGTTAGAAATGGAGGCGTGTGGCGCAGTGGTTAGAGCCTTGGTGTTGGGATCAGGGGGAGCACAGGTTCAAACCCCACTGCAGTCAGCATGTCGTTGTGTCCCTGGGCAAGACACTTCTCCCCAAATTGCTCCTGTGGGGATTGTCCACAGTATTGAGTTTGTAAGTCGCTTTGGATAAAAGCGTCTAACAAGTAACATGTAATGTAATGTAAATACATTTAGAAACGTTGTTACATAACTTGCTAACACACAATAATTGGAGATCAAACTTAGAAAAATTATCACCAGATTTTTCTTTCTCACTTGCCTCATGTTACTGTATGGCTGCCAAGGGTGGATTTTGTGTTAGTCTCATTATAACAAAGTGACATTTGAAAGCTCAGGTTTCACTTCAGCCCTCAATTGTGTTGTTCTCACCTCCACAAAAACACCCACAGAGAAAGTCCAGTTTCAGTTCGATATGGAGTCTCTCTTCTCTTTGTTTAAAGGTGAAAAGAGAAGAACTCCCTGAACTACATGAACCAGTCACATGTGTATTGAAAACACTGAGCCATGTGCTCTTTTACTTCCAATGTAATAAATGTTTAACAAATCCCCCCCGCAGAGTTTACTTGGAGTCAGGAGGAGCCACAGAACATGGGCCCCTGGTCGTATGTAGCCCCCAGGTTTGAGAAGCAGCTGGCCTGCAAGGTGAGCCCTGATTCAAATAATAAAATACACAATATCATGGTTCTGAAATGACACACACGTAACCGTCTCATCTTGTTTCTCAGCTCCGGTTAGTGAGCCGCCCTGCTCTGCCCGCGCCTGCTGTCGGCATCGGGATCCTCCATCAGCAGCAGCAGGAGGCCATCCTCTCCGCCACCTTCTCCTAAAACACGCAGCAACACTGACAACAGTAAACAAGCATCAAGACTACACTACATACTAGCATCTGCTCTAATCCTTCAAACCAGCGTCAGTAAATGAAAAGAGTTTTTTTAAAGAGGATTTTAATTATTATCTTTAGGGTTTTCAGGAAACGCCTGAATTTGTTCTCCCCTTTCTTGTTTTGACTTTGCCTGTATTGTTTATGTGTTCAGTGTCAAGGCACTGTGGAAAGGAAAAAATACATATGTGGGTGGGATCTGACTCGAGGCCTTAGAGACATTGTCTACAGTGCAACTGAAGTAAAGGAACACTATCAGCTGACAGTCAGATTTTCAGCACTGGAGATGGTTTCTCTTGGTACGACCTCTTAAACCAGGAAAACTGTTAAAAAACAAACACAGTTAGAACCGATATGCTAAAACTAAGAGTATGGAGAGACAGACTCACCCATGGTTGGTTTACACTCTTATTGTCTATTCTGAAGGACTTGCATTCATCTCGACTCTTGCATCAGCGGTACATTGGTCCATTGACTCTGTTGCTGCTCGCCTCATGCATTCAGTCTCCACTAGTTGTCCGTTGTTCTGAACAGAAAACATTAGAAGTTGTTGGAAATATCTTTGAAATATTTATGTAAGAACAGGGAGTACTTAAACTGGATTTCGGAGAAAAGACAGTTGAATGTTTACGCAGCCTTGAGTAAGATGTATTTGGACATTTTATGCTACAAATGAATATTTAATCATGCTTCTAAGACTTGAAAAAATAAAAGCATTAAAGGGCTAATGTAAATAAAAGAAACAAGATGGATTTCAAATGGAAATATTTTCAAATAAATCAATTTTCACTTTATGCATTATGTGTTTTTTTTGTTTCCGAATCTAATGATTGGTTAAGAATATGTTACTTGAGTTGAAATATTAGTGATGGATGTGATTCTAGAGATCATAATATCTCTGTACATTAGCTCCTCTGATCGACAACCGTGATAAGACTCATAATCAAATGTACAATCTGTAGCTGCTGGGAGAAGCAGGCTTGATATGGAGAAAAATGATATTCAAATTTGTGACATTGTTAAAGTTAGCTCATTGTGACATAAAGTTAGAATCTGGGACACAATGGAGGATAACACAAAATAAAGTTTACAGCTTCTAAAGAATACTTATCTGGGTAAGGATAGACTGGTTCAAGAATAAGAGGTCAACACACTGGACTTCAAAGATAAGCACAGGCAAATCCTTATAAATATACGTTCTTTAATGAATACAACTCGTGAGTTTCCTCAACATAAATACATGTATGTGCGGACTGAGCAAAGCTGCGCTCGCTTTGTGTGTTTGAAAGATGAAGGTGGGCTTTCGCACATTATGTTAGTGTAAGTTATTAATAACGCTGCTTTGTCACCCACTCAAACCTCTATTATTTTCTTGTAAACTCTCCAAAACTGCTCATAACACAATTCACAATTGGAACTTAATTACAAACAGCACCATAATTATAATATTAGTTTTGCCTTATCCCACCTTTGCTCAAAGTGTCAGGGTTTAGACAGAATGGGGCATGCAACAAAAAAGCTGCACATCCTTTGATTATTGATAAGAGTTTGAATGTCAACATTATGAATACATCTTTGAACTATTCAGTGTACACCCTTAGTACATGCATGCACATTTTAGGTAGCAGTTTGACATCTGCACAGTGACAAACATACAAAACATGAATGAAAGTTAAGAGGGGGCGAGGGTTCACCTGCTGTGCATTGGCCCCCAATACTCCTGGCTATACGCCCCTGCCCTTAAATCTCACCTCCTGTCAAAATGAAAGCATGTATTTGTGCATCAACCTAACACAAAACACGAGATGTAAAACACAGACTGGGGTCAGGGCAGGAGAGTTTGAACCGGGCCGGTGATTTGGTGCAATGCGAACACTTAAATGGCTCAGTGTGTGCAGGCTGTCAGACAGACAGGCGGAGCAGCAGCCTCCCACTCCTGCTGCTGGAGGAACACAGCAAGGTCGGTGTTACACAGCACACACAGCAGTTCGGATGTGAAGTGTCTTCCTCCTGCAAGCAGCCCGACGTCAGATCACCACATCCCCGCGTTGCCACTGACTGAATCCCGCCTGACAAAGGGGGGGAGGAGGAGGAGTGTTTCCCCGTCACAGGGATCGGAACAGCGGGGAAGCTCAGAGTCGGGATCCGCTACGTCAAACAGATTAGTCAAATAACCTCTCGTGGTAGGACATACCTCCTTCCTTTGGGCTTGCCTGGCTGCATGCATGGGCTGAGGAAGCTATATAGTCTGACAAATAGCCAGGAAGCCCTTGGCTAAATACACAAGTACTTTTTCTTTTTCTTTTTCTTTTTTCTCTGGGGCTGGCTGTGCTTGGTCCTCCAGCAGCGTCTCTTATTCTCCTCCTCTCCCCACCCCTGGTGCGAAATGGCGAAAGAAAACGGCGAGTCCAGCAGCGATGGGTCCTGGAAAAAGCATGTCGATGATATCAAGCAGATATTTGACTTTAAGGAAGTCCTTGGGACGTGAGTAACACGATAACACACAAACTTTGTATCCAGTTGTGCAAATTAGCGGCAGACAACAATGACACATTCCTTTTCATTTCCGTTGAATCGGTGCTGACAGCTGTTGAATATGTGTTGAATTCACTGAGAACTGCTCGATGGAAAAGAGGAAAAGGCCTTTTTAACTTAAATCCCTAAACAAAGAGACATTTTAAAGATATTTAACGGTGAATTAATTGTTCAGGGAGTGGAAATTATGTTTCATGAGACACAATGTTTGTCAGAATCACAGTTCATTCAAAAAGCTGCGTGTTTTTATTCTACCATGTACATGGGGATACACAGATCAGGCAGCCATTTATTTTAGGGTCGTTTTATACAACATGACAACTATGAAAAAGACATCTGGGCCTTTTTCTCACACATAAATCAGCTCCTCAATTAAGGGACCATCTGTATTGACTTCTAGTGCTCAGTGTCTTTCTTCTCCAAACAGAAAGGCAGATTTAAGCAGAGACACATTATGTCTGGGTTAACAGATACTTGTTTGCACAGTAAACACAGTTTCAGTTGTGTCAAGGGACCATTTTGGATGAAGTAATGCTCTTTCCCTTGGACCACAGAGCAGCCAAATTCCAGTTTATTTTGGTCCCCTGTTAGTGCTGCTTGACTTCATGTTTTTACCCTGTTTTTGAACAAGTTTTGCCGCAGACAGACAGCCTAATTGTTACCCTGAATGGAAGACCCCAAACTTCTAAAGAGGTCAGTGAGTCACTCTTGTGACTGACTGTGTTTCTCATTTGTCCTGCTGGTCTTTAGCCCCTGAAGACATGACCATTCTCCCATGGCTCAGAGGAATGTAATGACGTTTGTATTGTTGGGGATTCGGGAGGGGGCCTTGGCGAGAAAGGGGTTTCCCTGGGAAAATATGCTTGTTTTTTTTAATTTGGAAACAGAAACTGGTGTGAATATGAGGGAAGAAATGGCCTTGAGTCACCATGTTTGTAGCTAAACTGGAATATTTCAAGGATGATAAAACAGACACTTTGTGGTTTGTAATACATGCAACCTCATCTCCTGCAAACGTAATAATCTATCTTCTAATTTTGTGCTGTTTGGCATGACAGCCAGGTTTTTTAAATGTGTCTTTACTGAGGAACAGGATCATACAATTTCTCATCCAGATTGGTGATTCATAAAGCTCACTCGACACTTCATCTGTTGTACTAAACAGTCAGACGCTGCTACCTGGAGGCTGTTCTGATTTCCCCAAGGCTTTCATGTATGTGTGAAGCGCCTCTGAACAACACGCAGTGAATCATCCTGATTTACTGTCCACACAATGGCCAGGTTGGAGGAACACGCATCCCTCGCCCACGACAATTCACACATCTCCGAGGCCAGTTTGTCACTATTCAGCCCCTTATGTTACATATGATATTATACTGTGTGTACTCGCCCTGATTCACTCCAGGAATCAGGAACGCCTTGTTTCTGCACAGAGAGCTTCAAAACAGGTCAGCTTAGGGCGAGAAGCCTTGCTGCTTTGCTTCAGGATTAAAAATGGACGAGAAAGAAGAGGAAGAGACTTAGATTATCCTCCTTTTCCTCCCACTCCTCTTTATCCTCCTCCTCATACTGATCCACCTTCAACTGGAGCTTTCTCCTCAGGTTTTCCCTGTCAATCCTCATTAATTTCCCTCTACACAGCAGCCGTGGAAGTACATGTACTCAAGTGCAATACTTAAGTACAATTAAGAGGTACTTTACTTGAGTATGTATATGACATACTTACATACTTATTCTCTACTTCATAAGACCATGTCATACTTCACTAAAATATGATGCAATGTTATAAATAAAAGCTACCTTCATTCTACTGTAGTCAACATTAGCTTAACTCCACCTGCTACAACACTAAAATCAATCATGATAATCAAATATTTAACAATACATAATTCACATGAGCACTTTTGCTGCATATTCTTTATTTTGAGAACTTTATTTGTGTATTCTTGCATTTTCCTTGTCACCTAGTATTTCTACATTGTGTTATGGCTACTTTACTTAAGTTTAGGATACATTTTCCACCGCGGCTGCACAGAGATCTGATTTCAGCAGCCGCTGGAGGCCGGCGTGTCTGCGTGTGAACGTTGTGACTGATTACATATTGACAAGAGTTGGTGGAGTACAAAGCCTGCGGTGGTGACAGTAGAGCTTTGGTCACATTTATTCGCCCTGTTTCCTTGCAGTAGCTGTTTGTACGCTAATGAGATCTTTGACACTGAAGCCAGTCCTCACACCTCGTCGCCACTTTGCCTTGTGGCTAATTTGAGAGCCTTAAGCTGCTGAAACTCTGTGGAAGCAAATTAAGTAACCTGAGCACCTTCCAGACTCCAGTAACAACTTAGACGAAAAAGAAAATGAACCGTGGTCGATATCAAAAAAGTATTCCGTCCACATGGAATCGGCACAAGAAACGTGTCCATCCACACGAGACCGCTCGACCCGCTGGAGACGCTGTAGTACATATGCCGGGCCTGTAAGTGGAGCTGTACTTCCGCCACAAAATACACCAAAAGCAGCGAATAAGACCCCCCGAGTATGGTTGCCATGGTTGCCTGGTTGCCCTTCTGTTTATTCTCCACGGTGGATTTAGCAACATGTAGTTCATGTAGTTCTCCATGTCCACTTGTTGCTGATCATTGTGGTAGAGGAGCTGTAGATTTTGCACTAACATCTGTATCTTGTTCAGTAGCGCCTGGAGCACGAACTGAGAGCTGCTGTGAGCTGCTGTGATCCGCCATTGTTGTTGTTGGCGAAACGCATCCGCAATGACGCGGGTGACGCTGAAGTGAGCAGGAGAGGTGGGGAGAGGCGGGGCTATGATTGTTTAGGGTGTACACACTGTGCCGCAAGCGTTACGTTACCAAACCTTCCCACTTTGGGATGCGTTATCGTTTGAGGGCTTCCGTTACGGCCTCGTGCGGACGAACCGTCCATACGATCAGTGGCGACTGGTTATTAGGCACAGCCCCACCTAGTGTCAGCAGAAAGTATTACAAATAATGATTACAAAAAATGCAAAAAAAAAAAATATATATAAAATATATTTTAAGATCATGGTTAATCATCTGATTCGTCTGTACATTGCTGTTTTAGTCTGTGTTCTTCTAATTAGTCTCTACAGTGTGTGCCTATTGAGCTGTTTAGAGCCATGTGGGACAAAACCTGATCATGCCCCTCCCTCTCACTGTCTAAGTGAACGGTGACTGTAAAAACTACACTGCGCATGCTGAGTATTTTCCTATTTAATGTGTGTGGCAAA